CGCTAAACACTATTGTGGTCAAAGAGAAGGCTATAAGGGCCCAAGAAAGGAAATCCACGTGTCTGACCTTGAGATGTTGTCAGGAGTCAGCAGATGGCAGCAGTTCCCAACACACAGGTTTATAGAGGCGTTCTACTTCCAAGTCAGTGTGATTTGTGTGTTTATAGTCCTCAGTTTTATAGAAATGCCAGTTGGGTGGAAGAGTGCTTTTAAGAAGTAGAAAATGCCTTTAAGAAAGCAAAAAAAAAAAAAGTTCTTAAAATTTAATTATGTTGTCATTTTGTTAGGTATTAGGACCTCTTTTAAAATAGCGTGTTTTGTTTCTTAATATTTAGAGAATTCATTCAGTCTTTATGTTTCCATTTATCTGAAAAACTACTTTGTTTATCCTAAAGAAGTGTGTCATCTCAGTACGTCTTTAAATCGCACTTAGAATGGGAGGAGAGTTAGTGGATTCCATATGAAACCAGCATTTGTGAGGCTTTGTCATGGACTTAATGACATGCCTGCCTTAACTGCTTGTTAGTCTAGCTGAGGTGCCTGCCACTATCTCCAGATTAGCATCTCTAAACCTGCATCTTACCTTATTTTCTACAATTGCATTTATTAATAGGGAGCCACTTATTTACCCGGTTAAAGACAAAAATAAAAAGGGAGGAGTAAGGTTGAACTATATGTTCTTCATGAATTATTAAAAGTTTTATGTTATATAGAGACATTACTCATTCAAATTCCACTTAATGAAACATCATTTTTTTAAGCTTTAGCATAAAAAAGAGAAAGGGAAAAGGAAAAAGGATGTTTTGTTTTTCTTTCAAATAAGCTTAACAGTTATTAGTGATAAAAGCCTTTCTCCAGAAAAGATCACTTCCTTATAAAAGGGCAAAATTTTAAATGTCAGTGTGTAATAATACTAGTAAATGGCTTCCTTGCTTAATTTTGCTTGACCATTTTGCCTTGAACTTGGGTAGTGCTTTCTGTAAACATGTGTATTAGAAAAATGCCTCGTCAATTCAAACCTCATCTTCTTAGCTGTTAACTAAGAGGCCCTCAAACTCCTGTTTAGAGATGTTTTTCTTAAATACATCCATTTCTTAAATACAGTTCATGTATGATTTACTGTGTCATTTATATACACTATATTGACCTTATAATTTTTGTATTACATTTTATTTACCCAGGAATTTAATTAAAAATTTTATATAATGTGTTAGCCTGAAGAAAAACTGAATATGGTAGTTGCATTCATAATGTTTTGTTTGTTTTTTGTTTTGTTTTGCTTTGTTCTTGCAGGGGGAGGGGAGTATTCCAGAAATTGCAGTGAGATCTGAGGTATCATTTGTTTAGAAAAACTTGAATAGTGGTTTCTTCTCAAGAAAGTGTGGAATACAGGAGAGACAATTTTTGGACTGGGGTCAACCAGGATTTGAATCTTAGCCCTGCCATTTTTCTTACCAGTGGAATTCTAGGCAAATTATTTAATCTTTTTGAACAGAGCTCTTTTTCTCTTAAAGTGTGCATAATGATTACAATTTCATAAGATTTTGTAATAGTTAAATGAGATGGCAAAAAGTCAAAGCACTTATTTAATATAACACTTGTACATGTAGTCATTCAGTAAATGTTCCATTCATCAATGAAATTTTAATTCTTCTGCAATTCAGCTGTGAAACGTTACTGCAGAATTATTTTCAATAGGTTTGACTATAGTTAAATAAACCTTTTTTTTTCTTTTTGGTCTGGAAGAAGAAAATGATTGGGTGGGACTAAGACATTATAGATGCCAGTATCATAAAGCATTATTATGAGGACACTTTGTAAAACTGTCAATGGAAGTTATTCAGAAATAATTTAATACTCTAAGATTTACAGAAGAAAATATTTTTATTGCATACAGTCCATTTAAAATTAGATGTACCCTTTGAGACTTAGATTTCAAAAATTAGGAACATTCAGATCGCTTTCACTTAAACTATCATTTAACTTATGTAAGAGAGATACTGTGTTTTCTTTTGTATTTTAATTTATTTTAGCTTTATATTTATATATTTGAATGTCTTAGTAATTATATTGGATATGAAATCATTTATCTGATAATTAGACTTCCAGCAATCTCAGTTATGTGTAACCTTACATTTAAAAGAAATTGATTTAGGGGGGTTCAGTTGGTTAAGCATCTGACTTCTGCTCTGGTCACGATCTTGCTTTTCATGAGTTCAAGCCCTGTGTTGGGCTCTGTCCTGTCAGCCTGGAGCCAGCTTTGGATCCTCTTTTCTCCTCTCTCTCTGCCCCTTCCCTGCTCACTTTCTCTCTCTTTTTCAAAAATAAATAAGCATTAAAAAAAAAAAATAAAGTGGTTTAAAACAACCTTCGTGATTCTGTATGAAGTGAAGAATAGTGATTTAACAGGCTTAAGCTCTGTGTAAAGATCTTTTTTTCCTTTCTAACAGACTAGCGTGTGTCTGTATACACCTTATTCTGTGCTGTCATACCACAACATTTAGTTGCTTAAACATATATGGATTCTTACTGTATATATTCTGCATCTTTTTTTTCCAGTTACTATTCTGGAGATCTTTTTAAATCCACTTCAGTGTATTTAACAGTTGTTTGGTATTCCAAAGGATGGAATTTTACAATTAACCATTCCTTCACCAGTGCTCTCCAGACAGAGATGCCAGGTACTCATCTGTAGTTGAACACATTGTATTTATGACGTTTTACAATAGAAGAGAATCCACACCATGGAGAACCACATAGCGTTTCAGTAAGAGGATGTTAGAAAGGATTATAGGATTGGGATTGTATTAGGTGATTTTTTTTCTGCTTAATTTTTTTAACCTTAGTTTTCCTACTCATATTCTTTTTCCAGTTAAACATTTTGAGTGATAATGTATTTCTGGTTGAGTTGTTAAGGCTCTTTATATGCTATCGATACTAGTCCTGTGTTATTTTTGTGGCAAATATTTTTCTCCCTGTCTCCTACATGTCTGTTATTTTTCACAGGAAGACTTTCTCCACCCTGAGATTAAAACATGATTAATCTTCTAACAAAGTTACTTTACTTTTTCTTTAAAACATTTATATTTTTAATCTATCTGGAATGTGGAATTTGTGCATGCTGTCAGGGAGAGAGTAATTTTTTTCCAGAAAATCTCTAGTATTTGTTGACCACTCCATTGTTTTCTCACTAAATGGAAATACCACATGATGTTCTAAATGCCTACGTAGGCATCATCAACCTGCAGTAAAATATCTCTTTATTGACTCCATTTAACTGAGTGACTGGAGTAACTGGTATTCTCTATTTCTTCTATTTAATATACTGATTGAAGCCCAAAGTAAGCTTAATGTTTACTGCTAGTAGGCCACTCAGTACTTCTATGCTAATAACAGTTCTGTTTCTGCTAGTGAAGTTTTACATCACTAATACTAAGATTTGGTCATTCTAAAATCATTCTGCCGGCTGTGCTTGTCATTGTATTTCCATTGTTTAATCAGTATTGTGTAAATCAGTAAAATATGAATACAAAAAGACGGGAAGGTGCCATTTCAAAGAAAACTAAACTGGATGCTTTAGAAAAAGACAGTGGGTCACTACAAAACTTGTGGCTAGTAATGACATTTTGTATGCTTTACCTAAATTTTGTTAATATATACACAGATCTAAGTAATTATAGGAACAGAAAATGAAATACATGAATCAAGAATTATTTTGGGCCTGTAGGAAAATCTGTTAACTGAAAACTAAAGCTATACCACCACCACCAACAAATTATTGAGCTGAGTACATTTTGATGTATAAGGTGAAGTCTGTTTCCTGAAGTGTAGACCTTTTTTTTTTTTTTTTTTTTAAGTTTTTTTACTTTTTTTTAGAGAGAGAGAGAGACGCGCCAGCAAGGGAGGGGCAGAGAGAGAGGGAGAGAGAGAATCCTAGGGAGGCTCTGTGCTGTCAGTGCAGAGCCCCATGCAGGACGTGAACTCGAGATATCACGACCGGAACCAAAGTCAAGAGTTGGATGCTTAACCAGCTGAGCCACTTAGGTGCCCCAGAAATGTAGACCTTTTTATATATTTTCTTGTAAAACATTTTAATGATGGAGCCATCTTACAGCTTTAAATGGTAAGGATATAGATAACAGTAAAAATGTGTTAACAATAACCTAAGTTGTTAATAGTCTAAATGTCTAGGCTGATGTCTAGGGAGGCATTCAGAACATGATGTAGTATTTCCAGTTAGTTAAAAATACTGATCGTTAACTCTAAACTTGAGAATGAAGAGGGACACCTGGGTGCTCAGTCTGATTCTTGATTTCAGCTCAGGTCATAATCATGGTTCCTGAGTTTGAACCCCACGTGGAGCTCTGCACTGATAGTGTGGAGCCTGCTTGGGATTCTCTGTCTCCCTCTCTTTCCACCCTGCACTTAACTCTCTCTCTCAAAAATAAATAAATAAACTTAATTAAAAAAAAAAGAGAAGAATGAAGACCAGATTACTACAATGTATTGGTTGTCTTTTGCTGTGTAGTATCTTGCTTCAACATGTAGTGACTTGAAATAAAAAACATTTGTCATCTCACTCAGTTTCTGTAGGTCAGAAATCAGAGGGGCGTAGCTGGGTGGTTCCTGTGAAGGTTTCTTATGACATTGTAAGCCAAGATGTCAGCCTGGAGAGCAGTGATCTCAAGGCTCAACTAGGGCTAGAGGATATACTCCCAAAACAGCTCACTGTGTGCTGGTTATTGTCAGGAGCCTTTATGCCCTCTCCATGTGGGTCCAGAAGAGCAAGATAGAAGATGTGATAGAAACTATGACCAAGTCTAAGAAGTCACATACCGTCACTTCAGTCATATTTTATTAGTTAGAAGAGAGTCGCTAGTACAGCTCATCCTCTAGGCACCTTCTCTTAAGAGACTAACCACTACACTGCAGATATTTATTCTGTGTATACGGATGAAGGGGGAGGAAGGATTCATTAATTATGTTGGGCTTCTTTTTAGGATACTGCTTTAGGAAAACCACGAGAGGTGTTTCGACTTCCCACAGATTTGACAACATACGACAATCGCCTTTGTGCATCTATCCATTTCACATCTTCTACCTGGGTTACCTTGTCAGATGGAACTGGACGATTGTATCTCATTGGTACAGGTGAACGTGGAAATAGTGCTTCTGAGAAATGGGAGGTGCGGTTTTTGTTATATATTTTTAAGACTTATGCAAAGTCTGGAAAGTATATATAATATAGACCTTAGTGATTTTGAAATAACACTTTCTGGGCATAGCTTATATGTGACCTCTTTGTTTTTTTAATATATCATGTTTTGGAAATTTTTAGTATATAGTATGTACCTTTTACACAACTGATACGTTAACCATTTCTGGTTTGATCAGGGGTCGTTGCAAGTTGTCAAGAATTGCATTCATATTTTCATCGCATGTTGAGTGCTTTATATGTGTGTAAAGCAGTACCCTAAGCATTGGTATTGCCTCCTCCTTGAAGAAGAGTTAGCCAAAAATTACATTGGAATATCTTTTCTCCTTTACTCATGTTATATTTGCTGATATCTTTATAAGCCCAGCACACTTCTGCATAACCACTCTGCTTGCTGTCTGGTAAGTTGCCATCGGTCAGTGAGTTGACCAGAGTATTCCCCATTTAGAAAAATACACTGTAATACGCATATAGTAATGTGTCAGTCTCTCAGATACTATTTTTATTTCAGTTTTCCTTTTTTTTTCCTTTTGTTTGTTTATTTTTGAGAGTCTGCACTTGCGTGCCCGCACCAGTGGGGTAGGGGCAGAGAGAGAGGGGGGGACAGAGGATCTGAAGCAGGCAGGGCTCAGACTCACGAACTATGAGATCATGACCTGAGCTGAAGTCAAGACGCTCAGCCTACTGAGCCACCTAGGTGCCCCTATTTCAGTTTTCTTAAAGCAATGTAATATTTTAAAAAATTCTTTTTTGAGAGGTAGTGAGACAGAGCATGAGTCTGAAGCAGGCTTCAGGCTCTGAGCTGTCAGCACAGAGCCCAACATAAGGCTCGAACTCACGAACCGTGAAATCATGACCTGAGTCGAAGCTGGACACTTAACTGACCGAGCCACCCAGGCGCCCCAACAATGTAACATTTTTAAATCTAAGGGGCAAATTAGGATTTTAGTAAGTAAGGAATTAATTTCTCCAGAGCCACAGTTTTTGAAGGTGGGAAAGAATGACACAGAGTTATACTAATAAGTATATTGTGATACTTCTGTCTAAATCTCAGCAGGTGGCCTTTAGTTCCAGGTAAACAAACATGAACTTAATAAATATATTTATATCTTATAAAATATTTTTATCAGATCAGATACCTACAATGATCAGGCTTTAATTATTTGAGAAAAACCAAGAAGGCCTTAGAACCAAATGGCTTACCTTCCTAAGTTATATTAAATGGTATACTACCAAATTGTAGTAATTCAAAAAACTAAACAAAAAACATGATAAATAACCAGAACAACGATACCCTGTTTAGAGGGGACCTTCGCAGGCCTTTGTAGTGGCAGATTCAGATATTAATTGGACATTGTGACATTTTCTGCTTTGGCCTCCAGTGATATTTTTTTTTCTTTTTTCTCCTTCCTTCCTTCCTTCCTTCCTTCCTTCCTTCCTTCCTTCCTTCTTCTTTTCTTTCTTCTTTCTTTCTTTCTTTCTTTCTTTCTTTCTTTCTTTCTTTCTTTCTTTCT